CTTCCTTCCTTCTCCTGTGTTGACAAATGAATTAATTAGGCGCAGGTAAGTGGCAGCACCCAGGACAGTTGATGGGCTTTACCATAAAGGTGGTGGCAGTTATGCAGTGTTTATAATCTAGATGGTGATCATTATGAATTAGCATTTACAGCGGCCCCCAGAAAGGCCCACAGGCAGTTTCACACATCATCCTCGTCCTCCAGAAGCATTCAAGAAGGAGACACCTTTTTGCATTAGATACACCACTTAAATGCGTTTTAGAGCCTGCGCAAACCTTGTGGTGGGTGTATGCATGGTATGAGTATAAAGTGTCAACTATGCTTCTTTATTGATGAATGGATTAATGGTTCGGTTCAAAAAATGTCAGAAAATAGTCAAAAATGTATAGTGAAAAGAGTCTAAGGTGACATATTAAAATTACTTGTTTTGTTTACATAGTCCAAAACTTACAAATATTCATTTTACTCTCATAGAAGACAAAGAAAATCAGAAAATATTCACATTAGAAAAGCTGGAACCACTGTATTTTTTATTTAAAATTTTAAAAAAAGACCTAATTACTCATAGATTAATTTCCGTTTCAGCTCTAATAAATTCATGAATAAACTGTTCACCTCTTCCCTGCTGCTCACCCACCTCCCTGACAGACCTGTGGTCACATTAACATCAGGGTTAGTATTTACCACACGTTTTAGTGTGTTTTCTAAAATGTCATGTCTGCAGCTTTTTGAGAGGGGAAAAGGGGAGTGGTGGGAAGCAATGTCATTGGGCTGTGGTGCTGCAGGTGGCATAAACTGCATTAATGCCAGTTCAGAGCATTTTACTTAAATGATCCATTTTTTCCTTCATAGTTAAAATCAAAAATCTGAAATAATTTTGAGTATAATTAAGTGCACTCCAGCCTTTTCCTTCATTTCACCTCCACAATAATGAACGTGGAGATCCCAGTGGAGTCACGGGTTGACAGAGACTGTCAGGATGAGTCTTTGTTATGGTCGAATAGACACAGCGGGGAGCCACCATACTGCTCAGGACAATACCTTCCTGTGGCTTGCACAGATTATTGTCTCTAGGAATGCCCTTCCAGAGGTGAGGATGCATCCTCCCCTCATCATCATCAGCTTCAGCATCATTCAGAACAACTCTTTGTTCTAACAGCTCCTGTTAACACACGGTTAAAGCGTCCGGTGCGCACGGGACAGGACAGATGAAGCGGTTGTTATGATCTATGTGCCCATACATTGTGACCCCCCATCCCTCCTCCGGTTACCTGAGCCCAGCGTGCTGCTGCACTGCCAGTTCTCGGTGCTCCCCGGCTTCCAGCAGGACTCCCACAGGGACAGGTAATACTGGTCGTCGGCGGTCACCCACGCCGGGCTCATCACGGCTCCCACATCCAGGCAGAGCGCCAGGAAGACGCACACCAGCCCGACCAGCTTCAGCGGTGTCAGCGGGGAGCTCCGCGCCGACTCCTCCGTCTCGGTGACAGCGGACGACATGGCGGGGCTGGGGTGGCGAAAAGAGGGGACCGGTTCAAACCCGGGGAGGATGTCGATGTCTGTGTGTGTTGGTGTATCCAGACAATGTGTGTGTGTGTGTGTGTGTGTGTGTGTGTGTGTGTGTGGATGTATGGAAGAGTAATGAAGCTGATGTTTTTGTCTGCAGAGGTATACATTTATTAAGCCGTGAATAACGATGTGGATCAGCAAGCTAAGTCATTCATTAAGACATGCTATCTTAAGCACCAAAAATGCACATGGTCCAAGGCTTTCCATCGCCTCCATCTCTTTCGACCCTCTATCGCTGCCTTCCCCTCTCTTCTCCTCCGCCTCCTGCCCTCTGTCCCTGCCTCCTTCTGTCTCTCCCCATCCATCGCTCATTATTTGTCCTGGAATGGAGGATAAACAAGGCCCTCTTTCCTTCTTCAGCTCTCCATCCCTCCTTTCTTGCCGGTTGAATAAAACTACGGATGGCTCTGCCTCCTGAAACTTGGCTCACCCTCTGCTTTCTAAGGCCTCCCTCCCTCCCGTCTCCCTCTGGCTCTTTCTGCGGTTCTGGCTTTGTCATAGTATGCAGAAGAAACATAATATTCCCTTCATGTGCCCTACTTTCCTGCTCCTGCCCATCCAGTGTGTTGCTCTCCATTGTCCTCTGCTCTTGCGAATCTCCCTCCCACTGCACAAAAGCAAGCTCCTTCATATTTAATCATTTAAAAATTGATCCAGAATCAAAATCTTCGAAGTCGGTGAATAAATGTTATGGAGTTGAGTGGCAAGTGGGTTATACACATTTCACAGCCTCCTTACCGGTTCCAGCATCCATGGAATGCTGCTTGATATTCAATGTAACTAGGCGTCACTCAGAATAGATTATTATTTATAGATATATATACATTTAAGACAACAAAAATCTGAATTTTGTGAGATGTTTAAAAACCATATAACGCATTTATTATCCTGGTTAAAGCGTATGCCACACCTTATATGTGCTAACTGTGGTGGGAAACACTTTGCTTTTTCTGAACTATTCTTTAAGAGGCCTATTTGTCCCATCTATGGCAATTGAGGTTCAACAAAGTTCTAGAATCAGGCTCACAGGCCCCTATAAATTAGTTGGGATTATTTAGTTTTTAAAATACTCACAAAACTGGCAAATTTGGTTAGGTGGCGGTTGTGACTGGAATGGGATTTGGGCTCAGCGATCCTCTTCTTCTCTAATCCGAACTAACGGCCCTGATTGAGCGGTCCCCCCTCCTCTGCTCTCCTCTTCTTTCTCTTTAGGACCCCTGTTAGGCACCTTGCGAATCCCTCGCGGGTGCTTGACGTCAGCGCCTTCAACGGTGGAGATTCTCGCGGTGCGCGTCCGGCAGCGTGCCTACAGGCGCAGCGTCCGCCCAGCGCTTAACGCAGGCGGCTGCGGCGGCACCAGCCAGCAGCAACCTCAGCTCAGACTTTTCCCTACACCTCAGAAAT